TAGACATTAACATTGTTGGATGTCAGCTAGCTCAGTGACGCAGAGGTTAGGCATTTACGTGCATAATCGAAAACCGCTGGATTCGAATCATGCGAGTAGTAAGTAGCAGGGAGTCGTGAATGCACAATTGCCACTGATGAGTCTCATATCAGGACGAAACGGCCACAATTTCAGTATTTCCAGATTTGTGTAATGGTGGTTGTCTAACAATGATTGATTGGTGATTTCATTATGAACAAAAATGTTAGTCTCTCTCTCTCTCTCCTACAGTTGGATTTCAATTCTTCATTGAATAGATTGATAGATCAAGAGGAGAGAGTGGGAGGAGAGAGCAGTGATTCGATAATGACGTACATGTTGAAGTGACGAGTGTATAAACAACTATGAAATGATGATTAATCTATACTATTCAATCAAAAAGTGCCTAGTTTAGTTAACGTTATTTTTAATTATAAATGATGAAGTTATCTCATTGAATTATACTTCTTGAATAATATTGTCGAACCCTAATCTTCTCCATTACCGCTAATACTTTTACTCTCTCTACCATTATGGGATTTGAACTAACAAGTGTGTCTTTATGCTAATGTGGTATGGCAACTTGAACTGATGTACTTACGTACTAAGTTCTACGTTGTAACTGACCATAGCTATCTTCGAAGCATTGCTTGTACATCCTGGGTCGACTGAGTAAGCACTACCGTTCTTAGGAAACGGGTACTAGATAAGGATGGCAGATCAATTGATGAAGTAGTGCATCTTGATCAGTTGATGTAGTTGGGACATGTTTCACGTAGGCCCAACCACCGATTGTCCCGACATGTGATGTTTTTCTGGTATAGGCTGTAAGAAATCTTAGGGCAGTGAAATCAAAACATTACACAAATCACTGAAAACTGAATTGGGCCATGTTAATAGATGTAGGCCACCTAGTTGATGTCTTCAAGACACTAGTAACTGATGGTAAGTAACTTAGAATGGCATGGCTGAAAATCGTTTGTAATAGCTCAGATGCATCCATTCTTTGTGTTCTTTCAAATTGTAATCTTCTGATGTCTTCAAGACCTTTCTTCTCTTTTTAAAGTTTGAAGACAACTGACAAAAAATCTCAATTCAGATATCACATCATTTACGAGAAAACTGTTACTTTTCCAACAAGATTCGAACTCATATCATTGAGTGTTACAGTTAGAGAACTGATACCATCATACTGTTCAACTTTATCATAAGAACACAAATTTTCTCGATAAATATTTGTGTAAATTCACCTTTCTGTTTATATTTTTTGTCATTTGTTTTCCTTGTAGAAATCAAATTCCCCCACATCACATCAGACTCCTGCACCAATATTTTTTCTAACTGAACATACAACATTAATGTTTATGTTACCTTATCATAGATTAGATCAAATTTATGTAATGCTCTCTTCGGATTCGAACAATCTGTGTTCTACGCATCAATCAACTGTCAATACAAATACTACTAATACTTCAACTAATAATCCAGTTTATGTTGTATTCTCAGCAGATTGTGGTACTAGTCGACAACAATTACGTTGTGATTATTTATTGTGGGGCATAGATTTAACAGCACACGTTAGAAATGCACAATTTCGTTATGCTCAAGCAAATATGCGTGTGAATCGGCTGAATGAATTCACTTCATCCACTTCACCGTCGACATCATCATCATCATCAACTGTTTGCTGTTTGTTGAATAATGGAAACCATCAACAACAACAGTCAACGACTACTACTACTACTACTACTACTACCAGTAGTAATGTGCGGTATCATGTACCACATTTTCAAAATCATCCAGTTGCATTAGCTTATAGTCCAATTTATCATAGAAAATTATAATTAAACGATTGTTCACAAAATTGGAAATGAATAGTTTTTAAAACATAACACAACACAACATTTTAGTGCCTTGCTTGCTTCGTTTTTCTTATCACACATCACAGTTGAGCAGATCGACGACTAACTGTTTTTTCTAACTTTGTCAATATGTTTTTTCCATGTGTAAAACTTGATAGAGATTGAATTGCCCGCTGATACACTGTTTGTTTGAAATACAATTACTTTCAAGATTCAATGTTTTTTCAAAGTGTCCTGTGTTTTAATTATTCTCTCCTCCTCCTCCTCTGCTACCTGATTAGTCAGATTTTTGAAAACATGTGTATACAATAAAAATGCGCATTTTTCAATTCCTCTTCTTCCGTTTCGGCTTATTCTTATCCTTTAATGATTGACTTGTTCTCTTTAGTTATGATAAATTTTTGTTTTGATTAGTCGGTTTAAAAAACAATTTACATTTTTCTGAACAAATTCTTTCATCAATGTACATAGTTCTAGATTATTTGTAGTGATTATATATATATATGTATATTTTTATACAAACTTTTAAAAAGTAGCTAACATGATTAGTGCTTGATTTTAATGTATGTAACAAGTAAAACATATTGCGGAAGATACACCAGTTTATTCATAAAAGATGTACATAGAATTGTTAAATATATACTACTATCTTTTTATTGCAATCCTAGTTTGTTTTATTTGGTCTGTCCTCTCTGACATCTCTTCTAGTCGTTAATATACTCTGATGATTATGTTTATGAGAACATCAGTTAGCAGTGAAACGTCATGACAACGCTTCCATTATATCAATACACACCGGCTATTATGTACACACATCCGATTGGAACAATGTGGAAATACTGGGTAAGGAGAGCACAAAAAACACTAAGGAATTTTTAGAAGCTTAGCACTCAGGTGAATCAGAAATCAACTAACGGATCGACACTGACTCAACTTTATCAACCAATCAGAAAAATCGTAGGCAACATAGAATCGAGAAACAGAACAACAGTGGGATATTTTCAGGCAGAGTTTTGGAGGTTTTGTGTTTTTACACATTTGAAATCATCAATCAATCATTGTTAGACCACCATTAGAAACCTGGAAGCACTGAAAGACGGCCGTTTCGTCCTGGTATGGGACTCATCAGCAGTGCGCATCCATGACTCCTGGGACCTCGCAGGATTCGAACCCGGGACCTTTGATATTGTGCGCAAACGCCTAACCATCGGACCACTGGGCCGGTATCCAACGGTGTTAATGTCTAACTCTGATTGATCTTGGGACTTTGCACGACCTCACTTATTTGTCTTTGGTAGTTACTGCCTACACCTGACAGAGTTGAACTCCACGTCTTCTCAACTAGAACTCCGAGAATTTCCTCAAGAAGCTAGTCACTAGTGAGCACTGTTACGATATTTTCAGGCACAGCTTTGGTAGTTTGTGTTTTTACACATTTGAAATCAATTAATCAAAGTGGGATACAGCAACCAATCAAAATCGAAGTTAACAGAACAAGCTACTGGTCAAACGTGGAGAAATTCGAATGCTTCACTTCTATCTGAAGTTTGTGCTGATGATGTTGTTCAGAAGAACAATGAAATCTCCACAACCTAAACATCGAGCTCAGAGAACGAAACACCACCACAATCATCCACTTGAGCTACAAATCTTCTCCACCATTTCAAAGTCATGTTCTTCAATTTATAGACACTCTTTGCTCTGGAAGCAACTTCTAGGTGACACTCTTGTACTGCACACTACTTCTAATCCATTTTCTTGGATAGCATTCACTAAGACAATAGGATGGGTGGGGAGGAGCTTGTCACAATGTTGATGCTCGCCATTCAACTTGAATTCAGTATTTGTCACTTGATGAATCAATAAATCGATTAGTCAATAAACTATTGATTTTTACGCGATAACTAGAAACGTATTCAATAGAGCTGATATATATGTTGCATCATTTGTGATGAAAGTTTGTTTCCTAGTTAAACTCACTTACTTGTTTGTATTGAGGGAAAACTAGAATTTATGAAGAAGTGAAGACTTTTCAGTACAAATTATGTCTGAAGATACGCAGGATATGTAAATTTTGAATGTTTAAAGTCTTCAAAAAATCAATGAATTCTCACTTTCGTCTATTTCAATGGTGACTTGTTCCAGTTAAACTTTGAGAAAATAGTGGAAATTGGTGGTTAGATATATTTTTTCGTTTGTTTGACATCCTGGAGATACGTACTGTAGGACTGATCCATACGACCTTAACCTGCCAACCTGCATCACTAATGGCGTAAGTAAGATATCCGTTAACAAAGCAAAGGACGAGTCTACTGCTAAGCAATTCGCTCTGTTCTAATATACGGGTATGAAACATGGCCAGTAAGAGAAGAGGATATCCGTAGGTTGCTAGTATTTGATCGTAGGCATCTCCGAAGCATTGCTTGTGTATCCTAGGACAATCGAGTAAGCAGTGATGCTGTTAGAAAAAGAGTACTGGTTATGGATGGTTAATCAATAGATAAAGTAGCGAATCTTCATCTGTTGAGATGGTTAGAACATGTGTATGCCCAACCACCGACTGCTTCAGAGAGCGATTTTTTGTGGTGTTGGAGTAGGTTGGCAGAAAGCTAGAGGCGACTAAACCAAAACACGGCAGAAATTCATGAAGTAGGTAGGTGTAGACTACCAAGTTGGAGTCCACAAGATGATAGTCAACGATGGTTAGAGACCTTGAATGACATGGCTCGAAAACGTTTGGAATGGTGCAGATGCATCCATTCTTTGTGTTCTGCCAAATTCTAATCCGAATTTCTAGTGAACTTTATCATTATCTTTAAGTTTATTTTACTGGGATATACACTTCTTCGAACCCTAAGGTCCCGGGTTGGAATCCTGAGAGGAGCAGGAGTCATGGATGCGCACTGCTGATGAGTCCCATACCAGGACGAAACGGCCTGTCCAGTTCTTCCAGGTTTCTAATGGTGTTGGTCTAACAATGATTGATTGATGATTTCAAATGTGTAAAAACATAAAACCTCCAAAACTCTGCCACAAAATATCTTCAAAAAATGTTTACGGAGATATATCTCGCATCCCTTTGTTATCCATCATCTATCTCTACATATAATACTTGTGACCCCATGGCAAAATCAAAACAGTCCGCAAAGTATACAATATATACACCATAGTGACTGGTCATCAATTGCAGTCCAGAAACATGAACGAAAGGAATCAAACAATAATCAATACAAATACTATTGCCATTGTTTATCGATTAATATGACCTTGACCCTAGGCGAATATTGGGTAAAACAACTTACATATACGTTGAAAAGTGAATTCAGCATGCGAACAGGATCGATCAATTGTTTGTAGAATTTATTTATTTACGTGACCTTTTGATTATTTTAGCTGAGACACATAAAATTTCTTAAAATGTTTTAAATCAAAATATATCACAGTCTTTCTTATCAAACAGTTGGCCCAACACAATAATGATTGAGCTGAGGATGCTGATTAATTGACCTGATGATTAACTAGGAGTAGTGAAATCAATTTCTGAATTAGTTAATCTCTTTTTTGAAACCATGAATCGATCAATGTTAGACCACCATTAGAAACCTGGAAGCACTGCACGACGGCCGTTTCGTCCTGGTATGGGACTCATCAGCAGTGCGCATCCACGACTCCTGAACCCCGCAGGATTCGAACCCAGGACCTTCGGTATTGTGAGCGAACGCCTAACCATCGGACCACTAGGCCGGTATCTAACGGTGTTAATGTCTAACTCTATCAATTCACGGAGCAGTCCCATACCAGGACGAAACGGCCGTCCAGTGCTTCCAGGTTTCTAATGGTGGTCTAACATTGATCGATTCATGGTTTCAAAAATGTGTAACTTAACAACAATCTTCACAACCCCGTAATGCTAATCTCTTTTTATCATTTTCTAATCGACCTGGTGATTCCCTAATTAAATGGTAGGTTTCTTGGTTCTTTCACATCTATGCATATTTACCAATTCAAGAGCTTTTGTCAGGTGTACAACCAGACAACTTAGCTTACAAGTTAACAAGAACCTTTGTAGTTTGAAATGAGTTTGACAAAAAGAGTGAATATACAGTACTGTTTTGGTATCGCATTGCGACTGGTTCACTATATATCACAAGGTTTCTTTAACAAGATTTCATCTGGTCTATGACATAAAACAGAGAGGCTGTTCAGCGGAAATTTGTAACAATCCTGTCTCTTCTTAGGCTTAAACGGGCGATGTGGAAAATTCGACTTTACTTAGTGGGCTTATTCGAGTTAACCTGACGTCCTGCGTTAATCAAGTGAGCAAGAATAGAGAACTCTTATCCACACATAACTGTTCTTTGCCGAATCAAGCTGGATTGCGTTCTATCATTTAAATTATGATGAAAAACTAACTCAAAAAATATTTCTTAGATCTAATTCTCTTTTCCAATAATTTCCCCTGAATCTTCGGGATTGATGATACTGAACTTCTATGAAAGACGGAAATGCAAAATCTCATATGGAGGGCAGCTCACAGATGCATCCCATGCTAAGACCGTTGTCATTTACAAAGACTATCTATTCTCACCCTTTCTCTATTGCTGCGGGCGGCTGACTGGGCGATAAAGAGCTCAATATCTCGCGGGAGCAAAAATTGTAGGTTCGAATTTGTTTACAGATGGATTTCATTGAATGATTTCCTATACTGTCGTCTTAGCAGGTCTCTATCGTCAACAATCATTTTTTCCAGAAAATATTGGTCAATTACTAAAAGAACACTAAGCACACGCATGCCAAACACTTGGAATTCTCAATACCAACCAATCTGGAACATCGATAACTACTATAACCATCATCCACAACAGTTGTCTCGGAAAAATTACTCTGGATTCGTTTGCCAGACATGATCAGCAACAACCTATACTAAGGCAGCAGGCAATGAATCAGCTTACAACTGAGGAAATTAAGAAAATACACTGGACGGTGGATGGGAAACACATTACCGTAATCATCGAACTGTGTCATGAGGCAAGCCCTAGCTTGAAATCGATTGCACCGAAAATTGAAGACAAACATCGAAAGAATGAATACCACTTGGTAACAACGAAAAATGGAAGCCTAGGACTCATAGTTGGGTAGAGAAATTTACTCGACAGTCTACTTCCCACGATGGTTAACAGACAGACAAAAAGAGAGATACAACGCAGAACTTCGTACGTAAGTACATCAGTTCAGGTTGCCATACCACATCAGCACACAGACGTAACTGTCAGTTCAAATCTAAGAGTGATAGCGATAATAGAAGTATTAGCAGTAATGGAGAAGATTAGGGAGCGAAGATATGATTTGAGAAGTATAATTCAATGAGATAAATTTAGAAGGAGAAAGATAGAGATGATGAGGAATTCAGAAGGTTAGAATTAGAGAGAACGCAAAGAGTGAATGCACCTGCGCCATTGCAAACGATTCTGAGTCATGTCGTTGAGGGTCTCTAACCATTGGTGACTTTCGTCTCGTGAACCTCAACCAGGTAGCCTACATCTACCAACAAGATTCAATGCACTTGTCAGCGACTTCATGGATTTCTGCCAGGTTTTGGTTTGGCCGCCCCTAGATTTCTTCCAACCTATCACTACATTACAGAACAAAGCTCTTCGAGGCAGTCGGTGGTTTCATTACTTCATCTATTGATCTGCCATTCTTACCTAGCACCCGATACCTAATAACAGCGTTGCTCACTCGGGTGTCCCAGGATATACGAGCAATGCTTCGAAGACACCTATAATCGAAAACCCGTAACCTACGAATAGGTTAGGGATAGGTTGGAAGAAATCTAGGGGGGGCAAAACCAAAACATGGCACAAATCCATGAAGTCATTGACGAGTGGACTTGAGCATGTCGGTAGTTGTCGACTACCTAGTTGGGGTCCGCGAGATGATAGTAATCGATGGTTAGAGAGCATGAATGACATGGCTCAAAATCGTTCGCAATGGCGCCGGTGCATTTATTCTTTGTGTTCTCTCAAATACTCATCTTCTGGATTCTTCAACCCCTCTAGTTTTGACTTACTAAATTTTTCTCACTGAATCATTCTTCTTGAATAATATCTTCTAATCCTAAGCTCTCCGATTACTTTTAATACCTTTACTACCTCTTCTACTCTATTGGATTTGAATTGACAATCACATCTCTGTGTGCTAATGTAGTATGGCAACATGAACTGATGTACTTACATACGAAGTTCTACGTTGCATCTGACTGACTGACTACTAACCACAACAACAAAGAATAACGATAACAATAATTTGAATCATATCTGATTTACTAATTAAATACAACTGAAAAATACTTCAAAATAAAAAGTAAATTAAAACAACTCTGGCACGAAAACAAATAATAATAGCAATAATAATAATAATAATAATAATAGTATTAATAACCTCACCACTATTCATCAAAAGGAACAAAATGAAAAGTGAGAAAATGAATCCCTTTTATTTTTGTCAAGTGTTGTGTGTGCGTGCGTGTGTGTCTGTGTGCGTGCAAACAAACAGCCAATCATAATTGATCAAGAGTAGTAATTCAATAAAATGAATTTTAGTGACATAAATAAACAAAAGATAGAATGTTTAAAAATAAAAAAAATTGAATCTTGAATAGGTGGTTGCGTTACGTTACACTGTTACGTTACGTTACAGTTAAGAAGGTGTTAAGGAAGAAAAGAATAAAATAAAATCAAAAAAAAAATTAACTGAATAAAAACAAAATTTTCGCAATTTTAAATTATCTTTCTTTCCATTGCATACAGAATAGAGAGAGACATCGAGAGGAAGTTGGCTAGCTAGTTAGTTGAACATTGTCTGCATCCGAAGGTCATTTGCACATCAGCAGTTACAGATAGTAATAATGGTTGTATTGTATGTATGTACACGTAAATCGACTGACTGATCACGTACTTAGGTTATTATCATGTTGAATCATGTTGAAACACAGATAACAACAGCGACAACAACAGCACAACAGCATTGACAACAAGACAAATCAAATCGTTGCATAGTTAGTTAGTTAATTAGTTAGTTAGTTCATTTATATTGTTTAATTGGTTAATATAGGGGCGCTCTATTATGTTTTAATGAATGAACTTGACTGATTGAGACAATAAAAAAGGAGGAAAAATTGTGCATGATTTTTTTATAGTTTCTACCAACACACTAACACATTTTAATTTGTTATTAAAAATGTATCCACTGCATTAAATTGTAAAAATGTTGCAATGAATACAAAACAATGCCATATAGCATGCGCTAATGGAATATGACCATCTAATTTGAAAAATATCACACCAGATAAATAAACAAATGCACCTGTCAACAACAACGGTAAACCAGATTGTTCATGCTATAAAGAGAAAGTGAAAGTGAAAAAAAAAGATTTGAATAATTTTTTTTGGATTTAATGAAAGTTTAGGATTTGTGTCAATGGAAATTCAAAACAGTTGGTTCCCTTTGATAAATTTGAATAGAGAAATAAGAAGACATATATTTTGTGAGACAGTAAGTACCATTTCGTGCTTTCTTGTCAGTCACATACAAGCAACATGTTATTTGTGTGTAAATACAGCAGTTTTGAAAATAAGGTCAAAATTTCTTATTTAGCATGACATTCATTCACTAGAAGAACCATGGTAAACAAAGGTCAACATACAGTTGTTTTTGAACACATAAAGTTGGACTTTTTTCTGAGGAGTCCCATACTAGGACGAAACGGCCGTCCAGTGCTTCCAGGTTTCTAATGGTGGTCTAACAATGATGATTGATTAATGATTTCAAATGTGTAAAAACGCAAACCTCCAAAACTGTGCCCCAATATAATGTAACAGTGCTCACTAGTGACTAGCTTCGTGAGGAAATTCTCGGAGTTCTAGTTGAGAAGACGTGACCAGTGGAGTTCAACCCTGTCGGGTGTAGGCAGTAACTACCAAAGACAAATGGGTGAGGTCGCGCAAAATCCCTAGATCAATCAGAGTTAGACATTAACACCGTTGGATGCCGGCCCAGTGGTCCGATGGTAAGGCGTTCGCCTACAATGCCAAAGGTCCCGGGTTCGAATCCTGCGAGGAGCAGGAGTCGTGGATGCGCACTGCTGAGGAGTCCCATACTAGGACGAAACGGCCGTCCAGTGCTTCCAGGTTTCTAATGGTGGTCTAACAATGATGATTGATTAATGATTTCAAATGTGTAAAAACGCAAACCTCCAAAACTGTGCCCCAATATAATCAAGATAGCTTCAAGTAGTTTCAGTGTGTGTGTGTGGGTTTTGATGACATGTCACAAGTCTAAAGGCTAATTTTGGGTAATTTGATGACCTCTCATCATTAGATGTTTTGAAATGGACGAGGCTGGGTTTCTTGATCGATTTTGAAATGATGGGCTAGGCTGATTAATCATGGATTTGATTAACCATTTTGGAATTTGTTCTCCTATCCTGTCTTCCAATCGGCGATCTGTCCTCCCTAAGTAACTTTCTCCGCAGTTACATGTGAATTGGTAAATACAGTGGGATTTGGACTGAATCGGTCTTGGAGACTTGATTGGGGTAACTGAGATTGGTCGGAAAAGTCCAACTTTATGTGTTCAAAAACAACTGTATGTTGACCTTTGTTTACCACGGTTCTAGTGAGTGAATGTCATGCTAAATAAGAAATTTTGACCTTATCTTCAAAACTGCTGTATTTACACAAATAACATGTTGCTTGTATGTGACTGACGAGAAAGCACGAAATGGTACTATCTCACAAAATATGTCTTCTTATTTCTCTATTCAATGGAAATTGATTAATAATATGCTCGGAGGTGTTTGGGGGACTTACTACTGTGGGTTCGAAGCTTGCGGATAACTGAAGAGGAGTTGGGTATCGGGGGTTGGAGACCCTCAACCCTGGAAGTTAGAGAATGATCATGATGTGTCATGATACTTCGGATCGGTTG